GAAAAGGTCATTTAAAATTATTTCATGTTTGAAGGCTTCCAACTTGGCAATTGTCCATTATTTGATTTTGAAACTCATATTCGAATGTAATCTTTTCTAGCAAAGCATTTGATACATTTTTGTCTTAATGGTCACTTTTTTGTCTATACAGGCCTATACATCACTGGATACAGATTTATTACCTCATCACTCAGGAAAAACAGTTACAAACTGAACTTAATTTAATCATAATTTATGTATACAGTAGTGATACTAATTCTACTCTGATCATGGGAATACTTCAAAAATCTAAAATTATTTTAATTTCTGCATTTCTTTTTTTAGTTTATTGTTTTAATCTCTACTTTTAGTATTTTTTCCATAATTTAGTAGCACTATTATGGTACTGTTTATAATCAAATTTATTCAGATGTATGTGTTTTTGAAACTTCTAGGATACACATTTTAAAGAAATTGACATCCATATTGCTGTTCTACTTCTTGACAGAATGGCATACTTGATATCAACTGAAGGATTATTATAATATATAAATGTTTAAATATAGAAGTAGAAGAAATACATATTTACATATGAATATGTCCATACCAATATCTATCGAGTTCACAGAAAATTTATACTTAACATCTCATTTTCAGGTTTAATTTATTAAGAAATAGTAATACAGTACAAATATCCTGCAATGTCAACCCTCTCACCTTCTGAGAGACTTCATGTAGCTCAGGTTGGACTCATGCTTGAGGTGTTTCTGAAGCTGACTTGTTGAATCCTTTGCCTTTATTGCTTAAGTGCTAGAATTATGGGATGACCCGTCACATCCGGTTTATGTGGTACTGGGGAGCAAACATAGGTTTTCACACCTTTAAGCAAACATGAGGTGATTTAGATCTCTAACCCCAGAGAAGTAGATAGGAACTACCAAGATAAGAACATAGATCAACGGATTCTGTGTCTGGAGAGCTAAATCTTACACTATGAATCTGTTTCACTTTCCCATAACCTCTTTGAAGTTCTTGACCCCATTCACAATTCACTATTTTGTAGTCCTTGTCTTAGCTTTTCAGAGAATATTAAAATAGGATTTCTAGTTTTGGGAGAAATCATATTATCTTCTTTTGTTTTTGAGCTTGTATCTTTGTATACGAGTTAAAATATTTATGGTGTTTCTTATGTGTGTGCTCAGTTCTTTGATTGCTGTTATCCAATCTGAAACATTATACATAAGTCTAATCGGGATTTTTTTAGTCTTGGGATGGCTTGAGTCTTAGTGTTCAAATTCCAACTGACCACAGGTCTGAAGTGCTGGTTCAAAATCTAAGATCACACCCCAAGCAGTCCCAGGTAAGTTATGTGTGTAGTAATGATTGTAAGATATTAATTAGGGAAATTGTACTGACGCTTGAGGTTTATATGGCAGTGTCAGAGATTCAGCTCTACGGAGCATGGAAAGAGCAGAATAAGGGCTAATCTATGTTCTAACACAGATGGCAGTGAGTCTCCAGGGAATAGAATGACCTGGAAGGTAGAACAGAAGTGGTCAGCAAAGTACCCTACTTTTGGTTATTGGTACCCTAAGGGAGTCAGAATGGAGGAAGTTAAGGAGGGTATAGATGGCTTACACTGGTCTCCACTAAAGGTGGTAGCCATGGGGGACCCTAGAAGAATGTGAGTCTCATGGGGGGGGGGATAGTCACAAAGGAATGGGGAGAATGGTTGAGAAAAGTAGCAAATGAAGAACTAAGGAAAGTCTGTCTGTACAGGATTGACAGCAGCATCCCAAGGAGATGGGGCAGGGCCGGGGAGATTGTAGTGGGGTTTTGGAAATGAGAAATATAAGACAAATTATGAAGATCAGAATGGAGCTATGGAAGGCAGGTACAGGCAGCCTACCCAGGTCCTAGCCAATGGGTGTTAGCTTCGCTAATATAAAAACCTTAACAATACTAAAATATTGGTCATAGTCTGATTAAACAGAAAAGATAAGATAAAAGAGATATATTCACTGTTTAACTGTAGTTTAAGAATAATATAATGCAAGGCATTTGAATAATTATTTTTGCATGATTTCTCATGCCTATTTTTATTTAACTATTTAAAAATACCCATATTTACAAAATCAAACAAACATGATAAACACATACACATATAATCATTATATATTTCACCAATCTTCTAAACATACTTGAGAAAAAAATTCAGGTTGTTACAGGTGATCATTAAAATGCATTTTCTTTTTATTTTTTAATTTTATTTTTCTTTTTAGTTACATTTTGTTAACTCTGTGGCCCAGCTGTATCCCGCTCCCTCATTCCCCCCCCCAACCCCACACTCCCTCCCTGGTCTCCTCTCTGCCCCTTTCCAAGTCCACTGATAGGGGAGGACCTCCTCCCCTTTCATTTGACCCTGTTTTATCAGGTATCTTCAGGGCTGGCTGCAAAGTCCTCCTCTGTGGCCTAACAGGGCTGCTCCTCCCCTGGGGGGGGGGGGGAGGTCAAAAAGCCTGCCATTGATTTCCTGTTAGAAATAGTCCTTCTTCCCCTTACTTTGGAAAACTACTTGGTTACTGAGCTACCACGGGCCACATCCGAGCAGAAGTTCTAGGTTATATCCATAGATGGTCCTTGGTTGAGTGTCAGTCTCAGAAAAGACCCTGTGCCCGGATATATTTGGTCCTTGTAGAGCTCCTATCCTTTCCATATTATATTAACTCCCCTTCTTTCATATGATTCCCTGCACTCTGCCGAGGGTTTGGTTATGAGTCTTAGTGTCTGCTTTGGAACACTACTAGGTAGAGTCTTTCAGATGCCTTTTGCGGTAGACTCCTGTCAATGCACATCCCATTTGTCTTTCTAAATGAGGATTGATCATCTTCGCCCGTGTCCACTTTCTTGATTATCTTCTTTAGGTGTGTATATTTCATTATGTTTATCATATCTTGTAGGTCTATATAAGTGAGTATATACCATGTTTGTCTTTCTCTCAAAGACTACACATAAGTAAGTGTAAAGAATGAATGGTGAAAAAGATTTTGAACTCAGAAAATTGATATGAACAGAAAGCCCAGAAATGCTATCACTGGAGCCTGCCTGCAGAGCGGAACAGTTCCTGAGTGGGGAGTGAGGATTGAAATAATTAAAGCAAGTCACACTACACATGGGATCAGCTCGAGAGGGCTGTCAGTAAGACTATAGCAAGAGTTTATTCCACAATTCCTTTTATAGGCCAAGCAAAAACAACACACATCAGTACAAGAAAGGAGTTCATGGACCTGCTAAATTTGTTTTCAAGTTATGGTCCAAGGTCACACAAACAAGTTTAAAGGAACTTGGTCAAACATTTGCTTTTCTGTGTCAAGGTGAAGGCCAGGGTGAAAACCTGTTTTTCGCTGAATAACAAAGCAGCTTGACAAACAAGCAGCTCTCCACACACTTTGATGGCTTGATGTGTTCCTGTGAATCTGTTAGCTTCAGTCACTTCCCATTGTAAATAAACAAATCGTATTCTTTTTAAACGATTTATTTTTAGTAATTACAGCTAAAATATGGTCAACCCACCTTGTATGTGTTTTAGTCTGCCTTTATTGTATTCAGTTGAGGGTTCTTGCGCAATATTTTAGCCTAAAGTCATTCATGAGATCTTGTAAGTCACTTGTCTCACAACAGTTCTATGTACTATAAATTTTGTAATGTCTCTTCTTTATGAATCAGGTTCACATCATACAGCACCTGTCCCTCAATAATTCATTTTGCTTTGCTTTAATTGGTCGTACATTTACTCAATATTTTCTTGATCATTGAAGACAGAAGTCTAATAATTTGAACAAATGAAATTTTAAGAAATATGTGTAGAGGAAAATACTGATTGGACTTGAACTAAACTGCTTTGTCCTTCCTCAAGGAAACCCTAGAAGGAATAAGCATGGAATTACCTATTGGTCTGACAATACCTTTTAGGTATATACCAAAAAAAAAAAAAAAAAAACCCTCCAAAATATACACCCCTACAGAATTTTTAGAATGCATAGCTGTTCATAATTCATAATGTGAAAAAGTGGAGATCCCCTCAATATTTGTCAACTGACCAACAGTTAAACTCAGTGAGGTTTGTCTATGTGGTGGAGTACTTTTCCGAGTATTTAAAGATGGGGTAACAACACACCTGCTACAGTGTGGATAAACCTTGATTATATTATCCTAAGTAAAAGAATCCAGTCATTGAAGACTATGTGTTGTATAGTTCTCTTTATGGGAACTGTCCAGAATAGGTGAATTCATAAGGTAGATGAATGATCCCAAGGAAGGAATGTCAATAGATACAGGGCTTATTTGGGGGTGATCATAATGTTCTAAGATTAAATGGTGATGGTTGTTATACAACCCAGTGGACATACAAATCCCTGCTAAACTGTATTCTTTATTTCTTTTCTCTTTGTATGTAATGAATGTGCATGTGTATGTGTGCATCTGGAGGCCAGAGGTCAACCTTGTATGTCCTTCCTTAGTTGTCCTTCACTGTGTTTCCTGGAGACAAGGCCTCTTAGTTGGCTTGGAACACAAATTACACTATACTGACTGGCTGGCAAGCCTCAGAGATGTGCTTATTTCTATTCTCTAGTGCTAGTAGTATAAGCGTCTGATGACGCTGGCTTTTTTTGCCTGGATTTTGTAGCTCAAGCCTGGGTTTTCATGTTTGAAGGCAAACACATTACCAACTGAGCTGCCTCACTGGCCCAAACTGTATGCATTTTGTGGAAAGTGAACTGTGTTTTCAATAAAAGTAAGGCAATCTATACAAAAAAAAAAAAAAACTACTATAGCTATATGTAAATAAAGGTTTTCAAAAATAATATTATTAATTATTATATTACTTGTTAAAGTAGATGTCACAAGTTATTCCAAAATACAAATTTACTGATATTTTACCTATGTTAACATATTTTCTTAAATATTTGTATAGCAGAAATTATCATTTTTTTTCTTATAACTGTTTTTCCTTCTTGCAGGTGACTCAAACATCAACTATTCACGATGTCAAACAAAAGCTTCACAAAGCATGTGAGTTTTATTTATCTATTAAAATATATGTTAACTTATTTTCAAATTGGCTCAAATTTATCTTTAAGAACAAGCTTAGTCATATACAAGTACACAGACGCTATATTTTAAAAGAGATCTAATTAATAATTTAGTAAGTAGTAATTCTTGATCATAAAGACTCTCAGATTTTATATTTTTGACGCTTTAATATTCAACATTTTTTTTTCAGTACTGAGCATGGGACTTCATGCCAAGTATTTAGGAGCCAGGTGCTTATCCACTAAACAATATCCCAAGAAATACCTTTAATTTTCAGTGAAAGTGTATATAAAATTGTTATAACTCATATTTCAATGTTCTGTTCTATAAGAAACTTTTTAATACATAAAAGCATTAACTTAAAATATATTTCTTCCACATTATAACAAAAGATTAGACAATGATTTTATTCCACGTATTTAAATCAATTAAATTTATTCCACATAAAAATTATTTTACAATGTTATAAATGATATTGCCTAAACTTAGTAGTGGTTCTGTACTGTGCTGTAAACAACCCCCTCATAATTTTCATGAAAGTATTCATATTCTGCACATTTATAATTTTATATCCAGCTTCTACACTGATATTCATTCTAATTGTCAAAAACAGTGAAACAGAATTACTGGCAATTATGATTTTTACTATATTATTAGAATATAAGTTTTTATATAATAAAGAAAATTAACGAAATGTTAGAGATATTTTCCTTTTTTTTTTTTTTTCTTTATTGAAAAGTGAAAATTTTCAATGACAGGAACAAAGCCATGTCTAAATTTGAGAGAGTAGGCCAGGATGGCGCCCTCTCTGTCCTGGGGCCTCAGCTTGTCCTCAGATATTAAGGACGTTAGGGTGGAGTGGAGCTCCAGAGAAGGTTGTTTGGCAACCACAGCTTAGTTTCTTTAGTGAACGCCATGTTTTACTCGAGACAAGAGTGACAGCTTTCATTTTAGACAAACGTTTTCCAAATAGAGGGTTCTCCATACGCATAGCTCCCTTCTGTCACGTAGATTCTTCCCCAGTGTGCTGCATTTATTACTTATGCACCAATGTTGATACATCATAAGGCCCCAATGCTTTGAGGTTTAATATAGGTCATTATATTTTATTCTTATATTTCAAGGTGTATTTTTATTATTTTTATTCGACAGAACATGTGTTTTGGGGAACATATTTGAATTCGTAAGTTAATATATTGATTGAGTATATACTGATTGAGGTAAAACCAAAATAATAATTAAATCATTTATTTTAGGAGAAATAGAAAATTGTATTAATACATACATTTATATATAACTGTTCTGCATGATATGACTAGTTCAGTGACAATGAAAATTGTAATATAATTCATAAAAAGACCCATATAGAAGATTCAATATGCATTGTAAGAATAAAAAAAATATTTATGACAAGAGATGCCAATTAGTTAAAACAGCTAAAGCGTACAAACATTTTGGAGTATTTGCTTAAAACATATTATTAAGAAACATATGCGACGAAGAATATAATTATTGTAAAAGTGTTTATCATTCAAGTTGCTTTGTGAAGGCGAGTTTTGATATTTTACCTTACAGACATGTAGGAATTGGATACACCAAAAATGAGTGATCAGGGCATCACACCACACATCCCAAAGGAAGGGGTATACACATAACTTTCCTAGATTCATTTTCCTAGCACTAACGTAGTAGTTAAATTCTCTGTAATTATGTGCCAATGTTTTCTAACATATAGGAATTTCTCAATTTTTTTTTAATTTTTAATTTTAAAACACAAAATTATTTTTCACACATCGGATGTGGCAGTACATGTCTGTATGCCCTTCCCGTGAGGTTAGGAAGTTTGAGTTCCAAGTCACCACAGACTAAATTGTGGGAAGCCAGATAAAAATTAAAGTTTTTATGTAATTACATAATCTATGTAAGTAATTACCCCGGTAAGTCACAAAGTATTGCCTACTTCCTCTTACTTTATGTACATTTGTTTAGGGGTAATACAATCTTCGCATAAAGCACATATCACATTAAAACAGTAATTGCAATGCTAAACGTTAAAATGTCAGAAATTCAGCCATAGTAAACTATGGTATTTCGGGAAGAGACATTTGAAAGTGACTTTGAAAAAATAAGAAAAGGTCTCATTGAACGCGGTGGCAGCTTTTGGGGTTTTGCGTGGTCTCTTCGACAGCACAGCTGGGCCTAAATGCAAACAGGTCTAAGGGACCTGCAGCTGGCATTGATTTTGGCACCACCTACTCCTGTGTGGGTATCTTCCAGCACAGAAAGGCGGAAATGATTGCCAGGGACTAGGGTAACCGAACAACTCTCAGCTGTGTTGCTTTTACTGACACAGAATCACTAATTGGGGATGATGCGAAAAGTCAGGTTTTCGATGGCCAACATCTGATTGGACGTAGCTTTGATGATTCTGCTGCTCAGTCTGATATGAAGCAGTGGCTCTTCAAAGTGGGGAATGAGGCAGGCCTAAGATCCAAGTAGAATACAAAGCAGAGACAAAAAGTTTCTACCCGGAAGAAACGTCCTCTGTGGTTCTGACTAAAATGGAGGAAAGTGCAGAAGACTATTACCAACGCCATGGGCACAGCGCCGGCTTACGTCAACGACTCTCAGCGGCAGGTAGCAAAAGATGCCGGAACTACTGCTGGCCCCAGTGTACTTCAAATGATCAATGAATCAGCTGCTCCTGCTATTGCTTATGTTTTAACGAACACACAAGAAGGACATCAGTGAGAACTACAGAGCTGTCAGGCGTCTCTCTACTGCTTGTGGAAGTGCTAAAAGTGCCTCTTTTCCAGCACTCAGGCCAGTATTGAGATTGCTTCTCTCTATGATGGAACTGACTTCTAAACCTGCATTACCCGTGTTCCATTTGAGGAACTGAATGGCACGCTAGACCCTGCAGAAAACGCCCTTCGAGATGCCAAACTTGACCAGTACTGACCATGTTATTGTCCTGGTCTGTGGTTCTACCAGAATCCCCAAGATTCAGAAGCATCTGCAAGACTTCTTCAAAGGAAAAAAAAAAAAAAAAAAAAAAAAAGAAAACTGAATAAGAGCATTAACCCTGATTTGATCTGGAGACAAGTCTGAGAATGTTCAGAATTTGCTGCTATTGGATGTCACTCCTCTTTCCCTTGGTAAACTGCTGGTGGAGTCATGACTGTCACATCAAGCACAAGATCAGCATTCCTACCAAGCAGACTTAGACTTTCACCACCGACTGACAACCAGCCAGGTGTGATCATTCAGGTGTATGAAGGAGAACGGCCTATGACCAAGAATAAAAACCTGCTTGGAAAGTTTGAACTCACAGGCATAGCTCCAGCACCTGGTGGTGTCCCTCAGACTGAAGTTACTTTTGACATTGATGCCAATGGCATCCTCAATGTTTCTCCTGTAGATCAGAGCACAGGGAAATAGAGCAAGATCACCATCACCAATGACATGGGACATTTGAGTAAGGAAGATATTGAGCACAGGGTCTAAGACGCTGAGAAGTACAAAGCTGAGGATGAGAAGCAGAGAGAGAAGATTTCCTCCAAGAATTCGCTGGAGGCCTATGCCTTCAAGAGGAAAGCAACAGTTGAAGATGAAACTTCAGGGCAAGATCAACAATGAGGACAAACAGAGGATCCTAGACAAGTGTAACAAGATAATCAGTTGAATGGATAAGAATCAGACTGCTGAGAAGGAAGAATTTGAACACCAGCAGAAAGAACTGGAGAAAGTCTGCAACCCCATCATTACCAAGCTGTACCAGAGGGCTGGTGGCATGCCTGGAGGAATGCCTGGCGGCTTCCCTGGTGGAGGGGCACCTCCATCTGGTGGTGCCTATTCACGCCCCACCAGTGAAGAGGTGGATCAAGTCAATCCAAGTAGAGTTGTAGCATTGTTCCCCAGGGAAACATTTGAAGGACCCAAATTTAGCAAGTTTACATGGCAGTTTTAAATTTAAGCTGCTACAGTAAGTTACTGGACAATCTCAATACTTGAACATCGAGAGGAAACAATATCATTGCCCTTTATAAGCACTGAGTCCTAAATAAAAAATGCAATGTCTCTAAAACATGTGGAAAAATGCAATGTCTAATAAGACTATTTTAAAATAATAAATAAAAAGTAAATAATTTGTATAAATTTTGACAAATACCCAATTGGCAAAATTGTGATCAGATTTAACAGCTATAACAAGAGTTGGCATTTATTAACTACTCTTAATTAATTTTCTTTCACAAGTGTAGTTCTAATTTTAACATGCTTATTAAACTTAATAAATTAAACAATTCAACCATAATTTAAAGATAGAAATTATGTCCCTGCTTTTCTGCATTTCATACTATGTTGTAAAAGTTTGTTTCAGTTTTTTATAAATTGTTCTGTTATATTAAATTAAGTATTAAGCCATTTCTGTACTGTATTGTGCTTAAAAAAAATTAAAACACATTAAAATGTTACTAAAATGGTTCTTCTGAAATGATTTGGCCAAAATAAATATTTGGTAACAAAATAAAGTCATGGATTGGTTGGTTTATGATTTTACATTCATAGTATATTCTAAAATAAATTACTTACTGACTTAGAGTTAATATTTCTGTGAAAAGACAAACTGAACATGGCAACACTTATAAAGGAAAACATTTAATTGTTGCTGGCTCAGAGTTTCAGCGTGTTAGTCCATTATTTTCATGTTGGGAAACATGACAGTGTGCAGGCTGACATAGTGATGGAGAAGGATTTGAGAGTTTTACAATTTGATCTGCATGCAGCAGAATGGGACTGCTGTCCTGAGCATAGTTTGAGCAATGAGACATCAAAGTTTGTCCCCATAGTGACACACTTCCTCCACAGAGGCTGTACCAACAAGGTTACACCTCCGAATATTTTCAAATATTCAAACATATGAGTCTATGGGAGCCAATACCTATTTAAATCACTACATATACACACATATACATTTC